AAAACTACTTAAATTTAATGCATGTAACTAAACATCTTTCTAATTTCATTAATTTATACTAATTTTGGGGAGGAGGAATTAGATAGCCTTAGATCCCCAAGCAGAAAACACGATCTCTATTGTGTGTATAGGTATGGGCCTCTAGAACATAGGACCTGAAAGTGTTTGCACTTTCATGTTTGTAAATTATTGAACCAGGAGGAGGCCTAAAATTATACAGAGGTAACCACTGCCCTTTCTTTATGCAGGTAGCGAAGATATACCATGGCCAAATGAATCATGCTACATCGTTCCATGGAGCATACAGTAGACCCAACCTTATTATATTTTCAATTATATTATCTTTCTATTAAATATTGATCTTCACCTTGAAACTCAAATTCAAAAATTAACTCTCCTTATGTACTTCCATGTGCATTTTCTAAGCATTATTTTACATGCATGCTAAAAAGGGGCAAAATAGCATGAATCTATTGTAAACACTGAGGTGAATTCTTTGTCCAGTGGTGGTTCTAAGTTGATTTTTTAAAAACCAATGTGACCTGGGCTGATGAAAGAAAAATGTAGTACCAATAATGATACAGAAGTAGAATAGTCATATTTAAATAATAAATTGTGGTCATGTAACAAATTTACTCAGATCCTATAACTAGAGAATTCTTCAGTAGAAAGAAATATTCATAGAGGTATAACAAAACCCAAGTTTGTCAAATATAAGCATTTTTAATGTTACATTTCACTGTTGGCCTTTTCCCTTGTCATAAGGAAAAAAAAAAGATTGTTATTTGACATTAGAGAACAAACATCTCTGACATTTGTATCTATCTAATAATGGTATAGAAATTTAATTAGGAGCATGACAGATTTTTTTTAATCTGTAAATGTTACAAAAGCATTACTTGAATAAAAATAATGGCAAGAAATACATAATAAATTAGCAAGTGTGTGTTTACATGTGTGTTTATATAAATTGTAAGTTTGTGATAAAAAACATTTTAACATTTATTACAGCATTTTGCTTTGAAAGTGTTATCTTCTAATAGGCAAAAAATTTAATCCATTTCTCTTGGGATACATTTGTATTTGAATATAATTTGGCTCATATTTCAGGATTTTTTTTTAGCAAATCAACAGTAAATCTCCATTGTATAAACTGCTTGTGAGAAACTAAAATCCATCTGAAGTCAATATTCAACTAAAGTTTAAATGAAAAATAGCTTAAGAAAACTTTAATGTGGCTTCAAAAATTAGTAGACATGAATCCATTATCTCAAATAAGGAAGCAGGTAGGCATCCTGCATACCAATGACCAAGGTCCTTATTCAAACATGCCTAGGTTGGTACAACAATTTACCTTTTTAACCAACATTTTTGTGTTTGGCAATTTTGTTAGTTGTAAGAATTAATTTTAAAAAGCAGACCATTTACTTTGGATATTTTATAATCTTTTGTATATTGAAGATATTGGAAAGATCACCTAATGTGATGTTCACTCATGTTTATTTTGGGAGTTGAAATCTGAGAAAAATAAAAATCTTGTAGTAGTTACCTTGCAGCCATTGAATGTGCTCAGAAAGGTCAGCTTAACCTTTTTAATTTAAGCTCTGATTAGAAGTGAAAGATGATATATAATTTTAAAGTCACTGAAGAATAAAAGAGATACTGGAAGTAACATTAAATCAAATATAGTTTATGCTAATCTATTCCAGTTCTATGTATTCTTCAAGATTTTCAGCCACGAATCTCATGTCCTTTTATTTCCCTCTGCTCATAGTAAGTCCAGTTGGTTCCTGAATTGATTTTTAAAATGATGGTACTTTGTGTTATCACTTTCACAAAGGCATAAAACTTTTATCAATAAATCTGATATTAGAATAAATAAGCTAAGCAGAATCAGACAACTCATACCAGAAAAGATACATAGTACATTTGACCACATATGCTTCAGATGGATTCATCCTGAGTTAGAAATAAAAGTGAATCAAACTAGGATATTCCCATGGTCCTTTAGTGAAATATTAAAATAGTGAAAACAATTAACATGTAAAACTATGAATAGTATGACATTATTCCCTTCTAGTTCTAACATGTAATTATATATATTTATATTGAGTGGTAGGAAAAATAATTATCTAAATTCAGTAAATCAACTTATGACAAACTGGCCACCAAATTATTTTAATTCTAAAAATTTCCAATTGACAAATATAAAACGTTCCCAGTCCTGGCTTATTTAACTCAGAAAACAGACTTGACATGATCAAGGACAACTCTGAATGTTAATATTTCCATTTTGAGCCTCATGACAGAAAGAGTTTTATTAACCAGTATAAGCTCTGGAATGTCAAAGGCTTGATATGAGTATAGACTCCACACACAAAATAGATGCATAGTCATTTTATCCTAAATTGCTTTACTTGAAAATGTAGCATGAAAATCTAGAAAGGATGTAAAAAGAAGTGATTTTACAGTGGTCTAAAATGTTTGGGCTTGAAAAAAAAAGTCCTGGAATAAAAATGCTCATGCATTAGAGGTTATAATTCAGCCATCCTAATAAGTTCTTCTGCACTTGCCATAATGTTTGAATAACTAGGAGCTGGACTGATGGGTGCCAACCATCATTGTTGTACAAGGTGAAACAGCAGGTTTGCCAGAAAATAGCAGGCCATATCTCAATCCTGGTTCTCCATTTTTGTGTTATAAAACAAAAATCATCTAAGAAGCAAACTAGTTAGCTAGAAGTTTGAACACTTACTCATGTAAATATCAATAACAACATAACAGGGTAAGGTCCTGGAGGATCTCTGTTTTTGTCCAACTTATGCTTTTCATCCCATTTATCTTTAATAAAAAAATGTACTCCACATTTTTTAAATGATTGTAAGTAATATTTTTAATGATATTTGATTGGAGAAAACAATGACCTTTTAGTCACTTTTATAAGTTAGAAAGCTAAGATTCAAATTATTCTGGTTTTACCTGAAGGTTCAGTTGAAAAAGTTTCCTGCAAAGGTTGATATAATGACACTAAAAAGAACAGATTCCCCTTAACCTACTGTAATCTTTGCATAATCGAAAAGGACCAAACTCTGGGCGAGCTAGGGCTCAGGGGTAGTGTACTTGACTGGTGTGAGTTGAGGCACTGGTTTCAATTCTCAGCACCTCATGTAAATAAATAAAATAACGGTCTATCAACAACTTTTCTCTCTCTCTCTCCCTCTCCCTCTCTCCCTCCCTCCCCCTCCCTCCCTCCCTATTGCCCTCCCACATGGCACCACTCATTCAACAAATATTTATTGTTCTCTATTTGCTTAGAATGTGTAGAAAAGAGTTCAGAGAAGATCTCTGTTCGGATAGATGTTATATTCTAGTAACTAGAGACAAACAACAAATGATTACACAATTAAAAAGGATAGAACTAGAGAATAATTTGGGACATTTTACATGCTGATGAAAAGTCACTCTGAAGATAACAAAACTAAACCATGAGTAATAAGGAGGAGAGAATATTGAAAGATCTGGAGGAAGAGTAATTCAAGTAGCAGGAACATTTTGACACATTTATGGAAAGAAAGAAGGTAACCATGTTCGAAAGGTAGTTATGAGAGGGCAAGAATGTTTTACAGTTATATTGGTGAAGTAGGAAAATGCTAGATCATATAAGTATTTTACATATAGAATTTGGATTATTGTTCTTAGTGTGATGATATTCTAGTGGTTTTTATGCAGAAGAATGACATCTTATGTATTGTTTGAGCAAAAGAGAAGGAACTAGCATGGGAGGATAATCAGGAGAGGATTGTACATAAAAATCAGAAGAGTGCCCAGAATGAAGAAGTTGTCAATTGATTCATTAATCAAAATATAAAATAAAATATTGCCAAAAATTGCTATTGGAACCAAGTTATGGAACAGCCCAGGTGCCTGTCAATAGAAAAATGGATAAAGAAAATGTGGCATATATACACAATAGGGTTTTACTCGGCCATAAAGATAAATGAAATTATGGCATCTGCTGGTAAATGAATGGAACTGGAGAATGTCATGCTATGTGAAATAAGCCAGACTCAAAGTCAAGGATCAAACGTTTTATCTTTCATGTGAAAGCTAGACCAAATTAAGGGAAGAAAATTTAGGGGGGGTTCAATGAAAATAGAGGGGAGATCAGTGGAACAAAGTAAGGGGATTGATGGGGAGGGAGGAGGGATGGGAAAGGAGAAGAAAAGTGGAAGGAAATTGACAGAATTAGGCTATGTGCATATATGAATATACTACAGTGAATTACACCAAAAAATAAAGCCCTTTATTTTATGTAGAGGAAAGAGAACAGGGCAGGGAGGAAAGGAGCGGAAGAAGTACTGGGGACTGAAGTGAAGCAAATTACTTTCCATGCTTACATAGTTATCAAAAATGAATCCCAATATCATTTATAATTATAATACACTAATAAAAACAGAAAAAGTGGCTATTGGATTTGAAGACCTGAAGGTTAATGGTGACTTTTACAAGAGATGTTTAGTGGGATAGCAGGCAAAGTGAATAGTGGGGTCATTAAGTTGAGGGTATAACTAGGAAAAATTGATTTCTGTGCAGGTGTACACATGACAATGGAAGGGGTTGTTGGGTCAAGAGAGCTTTATTTGTATGGTAATAAACAACTTTAATTTAAATTAGAAGGTATTAGAGATGCCAGAGGTGCAGGTAATTTAAGGAAAAAAGTACTTAAAAAGGTGAGAGAATGTGGGATAAGGAGCAGAATATTCTACTGTAACTTGCTCAATACATGACCTCTTTTTATACTTTCCAAATCAATTGACAGTTGAATCACGTAGATTTTGCTGAGTGCCATAGCAAAAATAGTACTTGAAATAATTCTAGTTTAATAAGAAATTATATTACCAAACACATGGCAGAAATAAATCACACACATTTTGGTGGGAATGTTTTCAATATATGAGATTGTTATTTTAATTTCATCTTTGACAAATTGTATCTTTTAGGTGCTTCAAGAAGATCTAGAACAGGAACAAGTCAGGGTCAATTCTTTAACTCACATGGTGGTGGTAGTAGATGAATCCAGTGGAGATCATGCAACTGCTGCTTTGGAAGAACAACTTAAGGTCAGAAATTTTTCTTTAATGAACTAAATATGTTCTTCAGAATATATAATTACAACTTGAAAACAGACAATTTAGAATTTGATTTATTATTAATATTTTAATGCGATATATTAAAGTAATTAAGATTGTTTCCCATTTGTGAATGTTTTCCTGTATACTGTTTGCTTATACTAATTTCCTAACCTTTGGAGAAATATACAAAGAAGGGTTCCTTTATTTTTGTTACAGGGAACTGGTTTAACCAATACTATTTATATCATCTTCAAGTCTAGAGCCTAAAAGGGCACAATTTTTTTTAAATCATAATTGATTAAATCACAAATTGAATGCCTTCAGTGTGTGTATTCCTATAGGCCATCAGTTGTAGTCTTGATGTAAGGATAGCAGGATTGAGTCATATATGTTGGCTGAAGTAGACATTTAGTCTTCCAAGTATTCTTCCAACCTAAGGTACAATATTTATGTTTTTAGAAACAAAACCAGTATGATTAAGAAAAGATAATGTGAACATTTTAATTTGCTTTGTCTTCTAAATTAGAAAAAATATTGTTAATGTAAAAGAATCTTAGAGTATATTAAATATGAAAATATCAACAGTAAGTGAAAACAATCACTTTGATGGACATATATAATTATATGTCCATCCAAATTATAGTAACTTCACATTCTTTTTTGAGACACTCATTTTACCTACCAAATGCCTATTTGTTCTTTGTGACAGATAGCAGTCACCAGTCTATGTCAAAGGATCTTATCAATGTGGGTTTAAATGGCTTTATCAACTCAAATTAGATCTAACATAATTTCTCCTACCTAACCTCTAACACAATTTCTTAAAACCTTATCTCAGTTTTATTCCTTTTCTTCCTGATTTTTTCTTATTCCAGTGAAATATCTTTTCCTCAGGTTATTGCTTTAGACTGCCAAACTTAAAAAAAAATGTTTTCTTATTCTCTGTCATTAAAAGACAAAGGGAATGCTTTTGAACTAACAGGTTGGACAGTGCTGCAACCAAAAATTTAATATATACTGACAATTCATGTTATAAAGTCACTTGACTTTCAATAAAATTGCAGGGATCTAAAAAGACCTATGACCTCAGCTGTGACAATATATCATTAAATATATAATCATTTATATTGCATACTCACAAACACACACAAACATACGGGTGTGCACTTTTGACCAGTTAAATTACTGAATTTTAAAGAATCCACAGAACTGATATAATAGTAACAAATTATAGGATAAAAATCTAATACTCAATATTTCCCAGAATTTTTCAGAAAAGGTAAAAGAAGACTGCAGAGTAGGGTTGTTTGGAATAGTGACTGGTTTAAAAAAAAAATAGGACAGGGAATTTTTAGGTCACTACTCGACCCAGCACAATTGGCTTTACAATATAAAATTGTTCCAGGTGATGATTGTGGAACTGAGGCATCTCAGAAAACAATTCATAAAACTCAGATAGTGACTAGATTAGAACTTAGGAAAGAGTCATTATTCTACACGCTTTCAGTTTTACTTATTTTTCTGCCTGTATTTCTTTAGTTCAAAGGTATCTACTAAATACCTGTGCATGTATTGGCTATTCCAAATTCATATAAACCCAGTGTGCATTTGTCCATGATTATCTTCTCCTTCAGCAATCTATATACCTCTTTACTGCCACCTTAATTTCAGATATTCTAGTGTCCAAAATGGAGTGGTCACTAGAGATCCCCAAAGGAGAGGGGAGACAGAAGAAATTAAGAGGACTTTTAGGAATTTGGAGGGATGCTGGGCAGCAGGGGAGGAGAGCTCAAGAGTGGAAGAAGGGTAGTTAGAAACAATGTATATATATGTATGTATGGAGATATCAGTGAATCCTATCAGTTTGTACACTTAATATGTTAATTATAATACATACTATAAGGGATTAAATAGAAAGAGAACTTCTGTTAAAAATTTTTCATTATTTATATTTCATCAGTTCTTCAATCCTAAAGAATCTGTATTTGATTTCATACTTTATTTAAACCATCAGTTGGAATTACCCTGAAATGCTTCATTCATTTGACTGTGAAATATAGGTGATTCTTTCTCAGATTCTTTTCAAGGGATATAATCTCATTTTACCTAGTTTAATTCTTAAAAGGAAGAGAAAGAGAATATGATGGAGGAGGGGGAGAATAAGAAAGGTAACAAAGAATAAAAGTGTAAATACATAAAAGTCCCTTTAAAAGCAACACAGTTATCTTGGACATGTGATAAAAATTCATGTGTTTTTAGAAGGAGTCTGGTAGAAGTAATTGGAAGAATTATTATAAGGAGGAGAAACTCACATATGGACCCATACAAGAAAATAAAATTAGGAGAATCCTGAGAATGGATCCTTGAGATCTTTTTTCAGAATAAGACCTGGTCATTCCTACTTTCTCTCCCAATAAGAATGTTCATGCCATGCCTTCTTTCTCCTCTATGGCCTCCCAAGTCACTATAATGCCTGGCTCTCTTTTGCTCCAATTCAGTTGATAAACCATTCAGAGGCTCAAAAAAGATACCCAGAGACAGTGATTTAATTTGACATACTTCTTTCTTTTTTTTTAAATAAAGGTAAACTAGGAAGGCAAATTCTTCATTTAGTAAGATAAGGGAGAGAGGTATTCTTAATATTCTATGATAGAACTAAAAGTTAATCTCATAGAATCTTTACATGTGCTCATTTAGTTCTGTGAACTCTGATTATAGAATTTCTTGAATTTTAAAACCTTTAGAAGTCTTTTTAAAAGAAGGCTTAAAAAAAAGATGGGTTAGAACATATGCTTAGGGATTCTGAAAGGCAGCACAGCTTATGAAGAATAATATTCTGAAAAGTACAGTCTGTTTTAAATTAATTTGTTTCTTTCTCCTGGAGATTCTGCCTTCCCCTCAGCAATGTCACCACAGGGTCAAAGCCTTGTCCTTAACTTTAGAGGTTTCCAGAATATCACTGTCCAGAAGGCCTGATTTATAAACAAATGCCAGTTAACTATTTTTAGATAAGTACCTGAGAATGATAATTTATGTAGAGTTTTCATTCCTGGAGCTTATTATCATATTCCTAAGCATTTCACATTCCATTCTTTTTCATTTTCCTAAACAATTACTTGTTATGTTCTTATAATGCCCAGTGCACTGTAATGGATAAAGTAGTGAGGAAAAAAAATGTCACTATCCCCATTGGTTGTGAGGAGTAATGTGCAAGCCTGTGACATTCCTCAGAACCTTGGATCAAGGGTACCCATTTCACAGGCTCCATCTTTTGGAACAAATGCAAACTTTGTCATTCACAATTACCATAGTAGGCATTGTGGAACTGATGACTGCTATTATGATACATGTGATCAGTTACAGGAAATAAGCTTTGGTAAAACAATACTTCTTAATAAGCAATAATTATTTTATTAATGCTTGTTTACTGTAACTGCATTTATACAATTTTCATAAATTTTACTAGTGAAAATGATCAAATATTTTAGAACGGACACAATATATTTCTGAATGAAAAGAATTATTTATTCTGTGTGTGTGTGTGTGTGTGTGTGTGAGAGAGAGAGAGAGAGAGAGAGAGAGAGATGCTGGGAATTGAACCCAGGGCCTTGTGCATGTGAGGCAAGCACCCTACCAACTGAGCTATATCCCTAGCCCCCCTGAAAAAGAATGATTTTTGATAGAAAGTTAATCTTAAGTTTGAAGGCAAGGAATGATTCCTGAGGAAAGTGATGTTTCCTCTAGAATCTAAAGAATATATTGGAGAAAACCAGATAAAGTGGGTGTGCAAAGAATAGTGGTGGAGGTAGGGAGAATTTCTAGGAAGGGAAAATGGTAAATCAGGTGAGTACAGTATCCTCAAGGAAATGGAGGGGCAACTGTGCTACAACACTGATAATTGAAGAGTGACCCTTGAAGAGGTTTGAATGGTAGGCAGGGACTTATCTAAGAATTAGAATTAATGTGATATTAAACTCTATCATAATTTATGCAGTCAGTAAATATATTGAGCATCACTTATCTCTCTGCCAGCATGGAAGCTGGACCACACTGATAGGGTGGGGCAGAGGTAATAGTTGTGCTGCCTGCCTTCATGGACTCACATTAATCAAATACAGTTAAATACATAAAATGACTGAATTCAATGTGTCAAAAATATGCAGTTTTCAATGACCTATCATGTTCTAGAGAGTCATGAAATACCACCATACATGACTTTAAATGATATCTGAAGATTTAAAAGAAGTAGGCAGCACTAGAGAATAGGTGTGTGTTCTGGACAGAATAGCATTTATTAATTAAACAAATATGTATTGAATACCTTCTAGGTACCAGGCTAGACTTAAAGGTTCAATTATGGAAAATAACTAATTATTTACTCTATGGATCTTATGTTCCAAGAAAGCATTGAAAAAAAAAAAAAAAAAAAAAAACTATTGCTGGGCATGGTGGTGTACGCCTGTAATCCCAGCAGCTCAGGAGACTGAAGCAGGAGGATCACAAGTTCAAAGCCAGCCTCAGCAACTGTGAGGCACTAAGCAACTCAGTGAGACCCTGTCTCTAAATAAAATATTAAATAGGGCTGGGGATGTGGCTCAGTAGTCAAGTGCCCTTGAGTTCAATCTTTGCTACCAAAAGAAAAAAAGAAAATAGGCAACTATTTTCCAATGAAATGTTTTAAAAATAAATTGCAACACATCTAGTGTTGTAGATTTAATTGGTTTTATTTGTGCTTCAAGACTCCAGCAGCAGTGTGGACTAAGGTTATTTATAGCCAGAAAACAAGAAGTGACATATAGAAAATGGAAGTGAGGTAGTGACAGCTTACAATCTCACTTTCATTTGCCTGATTTGAACATGGTTTAAAGAGTTGGCCACTTGTGACTAGCCAAGATTCAGCTGTTCATTTTAAGAGTTCAGGTTAGTCTATTTACACATCAAATCAGGTTATAGTTCATTATGCTCAGAGAAAATGTTAGGCCAAACTT